AACCAAGATTCTCCTTAGAGGCTAGGATTTTGAAGCTCTGTCTCACATACTTTGGGTACATGGCCAGTGAGAACTGGTCCTTGAAAAGGGACTTCATGCTTGGAAGTGTGGAGGGACAGCTCAGGAGAGGAAAACTCAAGATGAGATGGATTGATACAGTAATTGGGGCAATGGGATTAGGTGTGTTAGAGTCAGTGAGACTGGCTCAGGAGAGGACATGCTTCAGAGTTGCTATACATAGGGTCGCTATGAGTCACATGTGACATGAAGGCACTTATCAATAATTATTACAGTGGGGAGCTCCGGTGTCCTGGTGATAAGAAGTTGCACTGCAATGTCAAATGCACAGGGTTCAAATCGACCAGCTGCTCCAAGGAGATGTGTAGTCTCCTCCCATGTGATTTACTGCCTCTGAAAACCTGCTGAAGAGTCAGCTGTTAGTTGGTTCTGACTCGACAACAAACAACAGAAAGCATTACAGCAGCAATCTGCCAGCTCAGTATTGCTATCAATTCATTTTACAGATGAAGACACTGAGGTTTACAACCTTCTCAGGGGTGAGTCTGAGGCTGAATAACTGGTGGCAATGCCACAACTGCAGCCCCACTTCCTGTTCTGCAGCACTCTCTCATTTCATAATCACAGTGTAGGCTGCAATGACCTTCACCAGGTCGGGGTTTTTAAGTGACTTACTAATACTAACCTCAGTCTATTTTTATATTTCTTGAAATTATTAAGCAGCAAAAATGCAATTTATCCTGTCTGGTTTTGCTGCACTCCAGTGTCGAGTAAGGCTTTTAGTGCTTGTCCATTTATTCAAAATGCAAGCGTTGCGGCAACAGGGCTGGGAACGACGAGGTTTAAAAGGGAAGATTCATTCGCGTTTTTAATAGTCTAGCGAGCACTGGAGATTCTCTTCAATGATGGCTCAAAAGGCTAGAGGAGGAGACTACAAGTCAAAAATAAGACCCTACGAGATTCAAAGATGAATTCTGTAGCAACAGAATGGCTGTGCTCAGACAGAAAAAACCCACAACCACTAAGGATCAGAGGAGTTGTCAGCTGAACACAAAGATTCTTAGCTATGAAACAGTGACCATTTTTGGAAGTAGAAAACAGAGGAGAGATACATAAAAAAAAAGAGAAGGGCATGAGAGAGTGAGTAAGGAAAGTAGATATCGGTATGTGATCATTCACTTTCAGAGGTTTCAAGAAAGAACCTTTGTTGCTGAAGCAATAACAAGCTTTCCCAACCAAGAGAGGGCACGAAGTCAAGTTCATCTCCAGCTTTGTAGACTCTATAGTGCTGTCAGAGGATCCTTTTTCTTTCCGCTAAGAAAAAGATTCTGATTAGGACCAATAATAACGATAGCAAACAACTACTGCACACACACCAAGGCCACTGTGCTAAGTGCTTTGCAGGCATTATTGAATTTCTTTCTCATATCAACTTCCAGAACAAGTAGCATTAATATGTCTGGCTTTACAAGGAAACAACAGAGGCTTAGAGGTGTTAACTAGTCCAAGGCCATACAGACAGTAAGTAAGTAGAGAGCAAGGGTTCAGGCTCAGCCTCTATCTCTCCACTAAACTTCAAAAGCTGGAGGCAAGACAGAACTCCACGGCCACACGTTCTGGGGGCTTCTCAGCAACCTGTGAAGTCACTGGAAAAAAGAAGTCCAAACAACCCAACAAACACACGTCCCTCATCCCAAGTCATGGACGCCTTGTTTTTGTCCACTACCAAACAAAAGCTTGTCTTTAAAGATTTCTCAGAGCTCAACAAAATCTGGCTGATGGACAGTGCCCTCCAAACCTTAAATTGGGGGTCACCTCTCAGCTTCCTCACCACAGCTGAATTCCACTGTCGAGCCACCAGTTTGACACTGTGGATTCCTAACTCAATCTGAGAAATGGCCACATTTGCCCCAGAGAAAATGGTAGAAGGCAGGCCTACCTCCTTGAAGCACCAAGGAGGGACACTGTTGCATAGCCAGTACTGTCACTGAAGTGATCTCATCTCATAAAAGGGGACCCAACAAATCATGATGTTGTCATGGGACACACTTAGAGCACTTGATGACATTTAGGGAGAGATTGGGAAAGTTTCTGGCATTTCTGTAAGCCAACAGTGGGAATGCTTCAAGACAAGCTGAGATGAGCACTGGGAAGCAACTTTCCCCTCTATCTCATGACTCACAAAGCCTCCCCTCCTCTGCCCATTTGCACATCAGAATGTGGATTAACTTCTTGTTAGCCCAAATCTCAGGAGAAGGTTTCTCCCCTTCCACTTGGGGTTTATGTTCTGTCCTTGAAACTCATAAACTCATCCCTCAGGACTTGAGGACCCTAAGAACGTCCTGTTCTGACAGCCTGCCCACGCAATAAATGGCAATGATCAGAAGGGAAAATAGTGTTTTTGACCCAAGGAGAATAATCTTCTTTTGAAAATGTGTGTATATGATTGAGTCTGGGCAGTGGAGGAGACTGGACTTGATGGCTCTTTCATGGATGATATGTCACTACATTCAAATGACTCTCTTCATGACCTAACATACCCTCTGCTGGGTGCACTGCATGGATGTATCTTGTTTCCAGGGCAACCTCACTGGGGTAGACTGTGCTGAACCATGGCTGGGTTAAGACTATCTCCTAGACAGCTCAGGTCCCTGAAGTGGGTGCACAGCCTATGGGTGTGTGAACTCAGTCCTAAAGCTCCACAGAGCCAATAGGAGAAGTGGAGGAAAAGAACACTTGGGGGTGGGGAGAAATCTTGCTGGCTTTTCTAAAAAAAAAAAAAAAACCCAACAACAACAAACTATATACACATCAGACAATGTTCCTAAGCCACAATTTTGTACCTTGAAACTGCAATATCTAGCATTGTCTGCACTCTCCATATTTTTCCCTTTTTTTCTTAGTAGCAATCAAAGGCAAGCAGAGAATTACAATTTAAAGAAGACAGCTGAGAAAGAGCAGCTCAAACTCCCTGCCAGTCGATTCTGACTCATAATGACCTGTTTCCAAGGTTGAATGAATCTGTGTGCAAGCCTTGCAAGGCTGTAAATCTTAACAGGAAACTGCCCAACTTTCTCCATTCGAACTGCTAGTGGCCCCAGAGAAGTCACCTTTTGGATAATAGGACAACATTATGCTACCAGAGCTCCTTAAAGAGAAGCTAAGGCAGCAAAATATCGTGAGCAGTACAAGCAGAAAACCAGGCTCTTTAATCGTGTTGAATTCTTCTAGGGAGGTAGGGGTCCAGGGAAATATCCTTTGACCAAGGTCTGTCAAAGAAAAGTTCTTTTTGTCTTTACCCCGAGGGCAGCCTGAGAAGGGCAGAGGTATCATGGCAAAAAGGAAGAGGCCAATCTTGGCCTTATGGCTTTCAGTTAGATGCCAGAGTCAGCAGGTTTCACTGCTGTACAGAGCAGAGCTGTGGTCCTGCGGGGCTGCAGGCAGTGGACACAGGATAATATTTCCAGTGCTCACTTCTCCTGAGCTCTCTCACACCGCAGCTCTAAAGTCCAAGGCACAGCACAGCCCCTCTGAATCAAGAGCTCAGGAGACTGTGGGGGTAAGGGTGTCTGTTGGGGATGTGTGAGTGTGTGCCAGAGCTGACCTCCCCACAATCTCACCATGTGGAGAGAAGAGGAGAGAGAGATTAACAAGAGAACTAAACTAACATTGAATAAAGATGGACGACAAAAATTACACAAAATTCAGTAGGTCCTCTGAGAAGGGTAACTTTCATTCTTCATAGATTCACAAGATCCGCTGCTGCTCTCACTATCCCTAAATTGTATGTGTTTCCTCCCTCGGTCACACCCCCTAAGAGGTTCTCCCTGGATTTGTTTCCCAGAGCAGGGACAGCAGGGTTTCAGTGGAAAGCTTGGCCACAGTAACCCCGTTAACTACCCAGACGCTTGAAAATGGCATTTTGCCCAGTAGTTTTGTAGAAAAAAGAGGTCTTTTCATTTTCTTCCTTCTTTCCCCTCTCGCACTTAAAGTAGGTTGTGCTCTGCTCCATTCCTTAGAGATCTCGGAAATGGGAGCTGAAAGGTTTCCTGGGGTTACCTCCTCCAATTCTCAGCCCAGGATATCAGCGCCTGAGGCTCTTGTCCCGGCTGCTGCCGCCACAGGGGCCCAGGCTGAGATCAGTTCTGGGGAGCGGGTGGCCGGGGTGGTGGCAATTGTGGTGCTTCAGAGTTCAGGGACCTGGAGGGCAGGCGCAAGGTCCCCATCGACAGCATGGAGGAGTACTGGACTCGTAATCCTGCCAGCCGAGGTGGGGCACGGGACGACGGGAGAAGGGAGCGCCACAGGTGCGGGGTCGGGGAGTGGGGGGAGCTGCGGAGAACAAACCCCAAGTGCCAGAGGGAGAAGGGGGCTGCGCAGACGGTCGAAGCTTTGTGCTGCGGGCTGAGCGCTCTCCCCACAGGTCGCTTCTGTCTCTGAGAAACTTCTGGGGCCTGAGAACTGCAAGTGGATATTGACGAGCCCCTCTTCAGGGTGGGAGGGGGCAGGAGCAATGGCCTTGGCAAGGTAGAGGGGGAAACCGATTTCTCTTGTGCAGAAGCAAGACTCAATCCGGTGCTGGGTCTCTCTTCCTACCTTCGCTACCTTTCTAGTAATTAACTGGCTCTAAAGTCCGCCGCCAGTGGAGAAGCCTAAAACCCTGCAAGGCGAGGACCCCTTGCCTAAGCGCGAAGCCGGGTTTAGATGTGCCCAGCGCCTGCCAGCGCACACGCACCCAGCAGCAGGGCTCCAGGTCCTCGCCGCTCTCCACTGGGGAGCTGGCAAATGAGAGTTAGAAGTTTGAAATACCTGGGCACAAATCCCTGCCGGGCTCAGAGGCATACAAGAGGATTCCCAGGGGCGCAGGGGGTGTGGGGAAAGCAGAGTGGGCTCTGAAGCCGCCGAGACACGGGCAGCGACCCCGCGCGCCTCGCCGCCCTTTGCCATGCGCCCCGGGCGCAGGAGACGCCGGCGGGACTTACCCCAGAGCAGCGTGAGCAGCTGGGCTTTGGGGATGAGCACGAGCGAGTACACGGCCCCCAGGTGGAGCAGGCTCATCCAGACCACGTTCCTCCAGACGATGTCCTGGCGCTGCCCGCGCGCGTCCGGCCTCTCCCGGCCGCTGTCGCCCTCCGAGGTTTCGACCCGGGCACAGATTTCTTCCTTGGCGTTACAGAAGGGGACCTTCGCCCCATCTGCCGTAGGGCCTCGCATGGCTGAGGAGAGGTCGCGCAGGCGGTCCAGAAGGCGGGAGGCAGAGGCTCTGGCTGCGTTGAGCTGCTGGAGGGGGTGAGGGGCTTCTGCCTTTTTTGGGGGGGTGGGATTCTCCACACCTCCGGTCCCCGCCTTCCCAGCCCTTCTCAAGCTCTCAGCGTGGCCTAGGGATGCAAATCTGGGCGCCCAGCATCTGTTGCTGGTGTATCACCCATGCCACCGCCGGGGCTGAAATCAGCTGCGAGAAAGAGGCGAGAGCAAGAGACGGGAGGGGGCACCGAGGGGTGGGGGGAAGGAGGGGGGCTGTGGAAAAAGAGCCGAGAAAGCGGCGGGGGAGGGCGCGCTCGGAGGGAGCCGAGAAGAAAGACCTGCATAGCTACAGCCAATCAGACTTGCCTGTGGGGCTCTTAAAGAGAAAGGGCCTTG